TCAGCAAATGAAGCAGGGGCGAAGAAGAAAGCACCACCCAGAGCTGCTGCAATAGTCCCCGGTGATATTTATCTCCCGCGGAGTTACAAAAGTTTTCACATTTCCGCCGCTCCAATTTGAGGGGGAGCTCTTAGAAGAACACACCACCCCCACCAACACCCTTTTTGGGTGACACATAATAGACTGACTCCCCATCAGAGAAAAAAAGTATCACCCCAGGGCCATTCGGGGATTCAAAGCACTTAGGGGACCCATAAAAAACATGGTTTAACTCGTGGACAAAAAGCACACTTTTTTGGTTTTTTTTGTTGAAAAAACCCCCCTCAGCGCCCCCACAGGGTCACCTTGGGAAGGTTTTACCAAGGGGGGGGTTCCCCATAAAACTTTTGACCCCCCCCCCCCCCCCCCCCCCCCCCCATCTTATGTCCGAACAAGCATTTTTGCCAAGAGTTCACCTAGCCGCATAAAACACGTATCAATCATTGGTTACATTGGTTATGTCCCATATTCCCATAAACTATCTAGCATTCGCCGGATCAATCGAATAAGAAAATTACAAGGTGATTCACCTTGACTCATATGTTTTAGTTATCAGGATTCTACCCGGAGGCTAACCCAACCTACTTTAGTAGCCATTCAATCACACCGGATCCTCTCTTTCTGTTTAGCCACTCTTCAATTTTTGGAACGTAACATCCATGTTTGGGTCCTCTCTCCGCGTGACAGATCTTCACTAAAATGCAGATCCTCAGCTATTCTAGCTAAGAAACTTGCTTGTGCGTCTTTAGGCTAGACGGCAAACCCACCTCCCCCTAACACCTCGATCCACTACCCGGATATATGCATCGGCTGCTCAGCTCCTACCCCCATCCATGCTGCATAAAGGGCCTGGGTTGAAGCCCTGGATTACATGACGGTCAGCCGTCAATGCTGCAGAAATTCTGTTGCATTGCATCAGATATACCCTGTATCATGAAGCTACAAAGGGAATCCGTACACTGCGAGCATATTGATCGGCATGCTATCCGGCAAATATGGTAATCCTCCCCTGCCTTGCCTCGCCAACGATCGTTTGAGGAGTGGTGGACATACCTAGGGTCTCACAATTGCCCCTCCCCCCTTTTGAAGTATGGCGGCATTATATATCTCAGCCGGCGGCGCGTCTCCAATTCTGCCTGTCGGTTTCTTCTTCTCACCAGGTTTTCAGAAATCTGTGATCTCTCCCACCCTCTAAAAAGAAGGCAGTGAGCGTATCAGTTGCTCCATATTACTGCTGCCTCAATGGATGAGAAGGTCAATCCCCGCCCGGCGGATGCTGATGCCGCATATAACTTTTTGCATGAGCATAACATCGACCTAAGTTCAGTTGATGAAAAAGCTCTACTTCGGAAAATCGATTGGATGATCGTTCCTCTGATGTGGGCATGCTATAACCTTCAATATGTGGACAAAGTGCTCAGTATGTTTTCCATTACAATGAAAGTATTTCGATCATTCGCTAACGAGTCATGCAGTCAATTTTGCATCCATCATGGGCCTTCTAGAAGACGCACACTTAGATACAAATCAATATTCCTATCTTGGGCTAGCGTTTTATGTTTCCTACCTTTTCTTCGAGCTTCCCACTGGGTATCTTATGCAGAGGCTTCCAACAGCAAAGTACCTTGGGGCGAATCGTTAGTGTTTCCCGGAGTTTCCTCTATGCGCATATTCACTTCTAATTGTCCATAGTTATCTTATGGGGAACTGTGGTGGCTCTCAACTGTGCAGCCAAAAATTTTGCCGGTCTGCTAGTACTCCGACTTCTCTTGGGCTGCTTTGAAGCCTCAGTTGCTCCAAGGTACAGAGTCCTGTCTATTATTTTCTGGTGCCCTGTTTAATGATGAACCTAGCTTGATCTTAATTACGGGCATGTGGTATAAGAAAAAAGGTATGTTATCTGCTAATATTGCGATTGAGGTATCTCAGGCTATTGCAATTATTGACTGAGAAATAGAGCAACCAGCACGTATGGGATTCTGGTATTCCGGAACAGGAACAGCAACTATCATCGGAGCCCTTAGTGCTTATGGCCTTTTATTCTACACCGGTGAAAGATTCAAGCCATGGCAGGTCATGTTCCTTATCTTCGGCCTCATCACCATATTTACCGGCATCCTCGTCGTTCTATTCCTCCCAGATAATCCCATGGCATCCCGATTGACTGAGGCCGAGAAAGTATATGCCATTGAGCGGCTTCGAGAAAACCAAACCGGTGTTGAGAACAAACATTTCAAAATCAAACAGTTTAAGGAGGTTTTTGAGGATCCTCAAACGTACCTGTTAACTCTCATTACCACAGCAGGTCTCGTCCCTAATGCCGCCATTTCTCAATTCCAATCTCTCATTATCAAGGCCATCGGATTTACCCCAAAGCAAACTCAACTCCTTT